CCTTCGCAGTCTACCCTTTTGTCTGGCTACCCTTTTGTCTTCTAAAGCAGTTTAATCGGGCTTGACACTAGTCAGACAGTTTTAATTGGTATTTTGTCAAAATCATTTTTGGCTCAAAAATGTCAACAAGTTGCCAGAGATTTTTTGTACTCCTTGCTTTTGTTTTCAGTAAAAGGATAGCTTGCGTAGCGGCTCTAGGGGAGGGCGGTCGGGGGAGGAGTGGATTTTTCCTTTCCTTTCCTTCCCTGACCCCCTCCACTTCCGTTTTCCCCCTTCCCCCTCCCCTAGAGCCGCTACGCAGGCTAGTAAAAGGAATACAAGCCACAGGGGGCCCAGGCTCAACAGTTGTGTTGCTTTCACGGCGGTGTCAAAGTATTAATTGCGGGGTTCGCGGTTCGAGCCCTCATGAAGCCGTAAATTTTTTCTACTTCATTTCTTGAGACTTTTCAAGGCTTTCTTCTTCTTTTCTTTTTTCTTTAATTAGTATAAACAGTATTATGAATAAATATTTATTTTTAAAGCCATTTTTATAYTTTTCCCCCCTCGTAAATAAAAATAGACAAGGGAGGTAAGTTAGCCTGATTTTCAGACGGGGTCTGGGTCCTACGCTTCTCTGGCAACCGGCTCTAAACTACGGCCTCTAAGACACCTAAAATTCATCCAATGGACATCAAACTCCGTACAGCTTTCGATCAATACCTATTCTCACTTGCMACCAATGTTCAKCCTCCAGTGAAAAATATTTTCCGAGATATTTTAGTCAGAAGATCAAGCCAGAGTAACATAGTTTGGCGGAAACTTGTAATTTGATACAAATTAGCATCTAATTGCGCGCCCATTTATCTCCTGTATTAGTTGCAGAGACTTTTTTTTGGAGAGCAATAAAAGGCTAGCAAAGGAGAGTACGTGCCTATGCAATATATATCCAACAGTGGTTGCTCAGCGTCTTCTCAATCAGGGACCTGATTTGTAGGTCAAGCGGTGAAAATGAGGTCTAATATTAGCCTAGGAACAGTAGGATTTCTCAGCGTAATTGAGGTGCTCAGCGTCTTCTTAACTAGGGACCTGATTTCTAGGTCACGCGGTGAAAATGAGGTCTAATATTAGACTAGGAACAGTATGATTTCTCAGCGTAATTGAGGTGCTCAGCGTCTTTCTTATAATTAGGGACCTGATTTTTAGGTCACGCGGTGAAAATGAGGTCTAATTTTAGCCTAGGAACAGTAGGATTTCTCAGCGTAATTGAGGTGTTATTAAAAAACGTGGAGCAACTTATGTTGGCTCTCAGATCCACCGTCTACGCCGCCCATGTCTACCAGGTCCTGTGWTYTTATTTTGTTGTAATTTTCCTTTCCAGCAAAGAGACGTGATTATAGTATCAATACGAAATGATCACAACCTGCATATCATTGACCTAACTTCAGATGAACCTCGTGAGGTATTTTCACCTATTAGCTAACTATCTCAAACAAAACATTTCTCAATGTGCCTGACCCAATTAGAACTGTGGTAGCGGGCTTATCGGGTAAATGTCCCTTTATTTAAGGAATAAAAAACAGTTTTCCGTGCTATTATAAAATAACAAGCGCTCAAATATTCATGAGGAAAAAAAAGCCGAGAAAAAAAGTGACGCGAGCGTGTATTATGCTCTCATCAGCACGGCTTTTTGACCTTTTTGGCCAATCAGAGCGCGCGTAATATGAAAGTTATTTTATAAAGGGAAATCCTGCTTGAAAGAGAATAAACCCATGGTTTGTGAGGATTAAATAGTGATCTCTTTTTGTTTTAGTTTTAGCCTCAAAACCCCGTAATCTATTCTTTCATTCAGCAACAGCAAATGCATGAGTACAGAAGACAATGAAAATAGTTTGAAATCTTTATTTGAATTTCGGCATATTTTATACACAGATGATGCTTGCACAATGTAAATTAGATCGCGAACTATTAATATTATTAAAAATTGTTTTAAAAACTGGAATATGCTTACCTTTGCCATGTTCTTTTGTAGATACGGACCATCAACATGAACCTGATTGGAGATGATTTTGTCAGTTTTACTGCCATGGATATAAGCTGTAGCCCAGAAGATAATTTTATTCTTGTTTCAACAGGCAAGTCACGTTATTCTAGAATTGTCATTTTATAAGACAGCTATTAAACGTGGGGTTTAAAAGTAACATCGTGGTCTTGGAATGAATGCTATATGCAGTGAACAGTATTCAGTATTCGAAGTTTTCTGAAATACATCACATAAAGTAAACTAGTTAAATTGTGGAATAGAATGTTGCGTTTTTGAATTATGAAGGTTTTTAAAATTAGTCTTATGATATGCTAATGACTATGACGTCAAGGAGGACCAAGTTTAAAATAATTTGGTGACTACCCTTACCAGATAGCATTTATGAAAAAAATGTGACTGCTTCAAATAAAGCTTTCCTTGACATCATTTAATCATTAGCATATTGTAAACTTGAACCTTGGTAACTCAAAGACGGAAAACTGAAATATAAAAGAAAATTTCACCATTCAATTATTTACTTTATGTAGTATAAATTTGCGTAGAATCAACAATTTTTGTATCAGGCGACACTTTAATTTGAGATTCTACTTCCTAGTGTTCACCTTTTTAATTTCTTTTGATTTAAATAATGTTTTGTACTTTTTCATCATTTCTCTTTTATTTTTTTGTTATTTATTATTATTATTTTTTTGCAGATCACAACAGAATAATAATGTTCGATTTTAATTCTGGTGATCAGGTAAACTCGAGAAGATAAAATTAGTATATATCTCCATGCGATATAGTCAAAGCTGAGCAAAATCACCTTTCTAAATGCAAACGGGTTATTATCTTAGTTAATAATATGTTTTGATAACAATCAGGTAGGAAACTTTTATGGAAGTATAAACGATGAATTCAGTCAACCACGAAGCTGCTGGCATCCATCGGGAAAGTATATCTACTCTGTAAGTCCAAAAAATCCAATCTAGTACCCAGTGCTCTCGTAACTTTCGGTACTTGTTTCAAGTTCTTTCTCGCCGCACGCCAAGAGCTACSCGGGCTCTGGGTGCGAAATTGATWTRAATTTGACAATATGTTCCCCTTGTTTAAGTCCCCGTCCACACGAGTCCAGAGGTGTTCCTTTTTCCACATTTAGGAATCGCATACGGCAGTCTACATGTAGCGCCAAATCTTTTACAAATCCAAATTGGGACAACATAATTACAAAAGCGAAAGAAGGCCCATTGCAAAATATGACGACCTCTTTTATAGTTTCACTTTGGAAAAATAGTGACAATGCTTCAATTCTTTACCTAAAAAAAGTGATGTTACCAGGCAGTCCCACCCTCCTTTCCGGAGCGATTTTGTTTTTGACTAGTTTTCATTTCATTGTCTTTCTAGACTTCTCAAGATAAATGTGTTATCGTATGGGAGGTGGCTAGTCAAGCAGTTGTTGGAAAAMTACGTGGTCACAATGGTATCGTGGTAAGAAGAAATGCATATGTTTGCAAATCAAAGTGCTATGAATTTTGACTTTTCCTCGTGTTACGGAATCTAAACTAAAGTCAATTTGGCTCTACCCGAACACAAAATGCACTGTTTATTTATATAGCCTCTATCATGTACGCCAAGAGTAAGAGCAGCCGGGTTTTCTTCCTGTTCTTCACTTTTCGCCGTCGAGAAGCGGGAAGAATCAGTGCCAGGGGCGTAGCGCGGTCGTGTCTTTTGGAAAATGTTTTCYATATATTTTAGTATTCACAATTTCATAAATCAATATAATAAAAATGGTAATAAAAACTGAGCAGGCAACAGCTCAGGGTGTTGTTTTGAATTTTGAACCGATATCACAAACGCTTCAGTCGGCTTTTTTCGCTGTGTCTATATTGGCAAGTTTTGGAGGTAAATTGACTATTCTCAAAATTTCAGTACAAGCGGGCTTAGCCTCGAATATATACTTATTTCATAAAAGGTTGTCGGATGATATGACCGATGTCAGTGTCGAACGGCAATTGCTCGACCGAAAGTAGCCATGGGTTTTGCCAATGATAACAAGCGATGTACACCGTAAGATAGTCTGTGTTAAACATTGACTCMATTTAGTCTCCATTTCTATGCAAGTTGAATCCAATAAGCGAAATTCAGCTTGTCAAAACTGTGTAACCATACTCCCTTTCGGTCGTGAAATCTCCCTTCGACATTCGCCGTTCGCCGTTCTCCCCGACAACGTTTATTGAAATCAGTATATGTGTAAGGCCAACTGATTGTTGATTCTATTGTTTTCTATCTTAGGAACGAGGCTTTTCACGCTTGTAGTGGAATCTTTAGAACAGTCAATACCGAATCGTGCATACTTGACAAAATGATCTTACCACGTGTCGAAATTACCTCGCCACGCCCCTCAATGCGCGAGGGATATGTCGATACAGCTCAAACTTTCTATCGTTCTTTTTCATGCCTTCTTACTAGTGACTTGAAAAGAGAATATTTAATCATAATTGAGCTTATTCTTTTGTTTATTTTCAGCGTGACATGTGGTATTGCGAGCCTTTTTCGGCATTAGTTTCCTGCGGTTTTGATGGAGATGTCCGCCTTTGGCACCACGGAGAGCAAGCCACTACGTAATTTGATAAATAGACATTTTATTGCAATTAAATCAAATTTAATTACAGAAATAAAAAATCTGCCAGATGTCAAGAATACTCACTTCTTAAGGAGTCACGAGCTCTGCCGTTTCTCCTTTTTTTCACTCACTACCACCAGAATTCAAATGTTTYAAGGTAAAAAGTTATGACGTCTGAAAAAAGACCTGTCCTGCGATGTGCTCAAATGTCATTAAAATTGAAGTTCAATTGTTAGAATATCATGCTTTGATACAATGGAAATTTTAGGAAGAGAAAATCCCGRAAGAAAACATGCAATTTTCCGAAAACGATCTACTAGTGGAGCCAAAACTGAACGCGAACGCGACGTTGAAAGAATATTTGAATATTTTATGAGGATTTGTGATAAATCTTATGTTTGCTTTCGACGTAAATGTACTAATTCACTCGAAGGATTGGATGTTCACACTTTACATTCTATATTAAAAGAAAATGTGAAAATAAATAATTTAAAACTCAAACTTTGCACTTGAATTGGAATTTTGTTCTTTATTTTATCCATTTGACGTCTGTATATTGCAAGGGCTGCTGAAATAAGAGTATATTTAATCTGGGTGTTGTTATTTATATATACCCTCTTATTTATGTTGGCCAGTGACAAACGACGGAAAATCTCTTCAAACAAATCGAGTTCCTTCACAATCCTGAACTCTGATTGGTCAAAACTAATCAACGTCAYACTAATTTATGTTAATTATTTCTGGGCTGGTAATATCTTGGCTTTCCTTACCTTCACATTAACATCTGTTGTGATTTTCGGTTGATTTTTTCGCATCAAAAAGCTTATATTCCATGGTTATCGTAAACCTCGATAGCTGCTTGGCCAAGGACGCTATTGCACATATCTAAAGCAAGGTTTCCGGAATTTTTAGCACACTTCGCATACGTAATGAGCAGATAATTCATGAGAATCAATATGGCCGACTGGGAGGAATATTTCTCGAAACAAACAGCTCCAGCCAACTTAAAAGAAACGAAAACTGTCGTTGCTGAATTCGCTGCAACCCACAGAAATGCTGGCAGGAATGTAGTGCTAATGACGGTGAGTGAGGGCTTTTATTTTCTTCGTTTTTGATCGATTTTCTGAGGTGGTGTTGATAATGCTATGCATAAGCCACGGGTAATTTTTCGATTATGCTTTTTAAACATTTTTGCCTCGTATACATTATAAATCTCACAGTGGAAAGGCTTTGTTCGATGTGAAAGTTGAGACCCGTCAATGGAAGGTTTGAAAGAAGCGGAAGAAAGCTTTATTTGCATTTCACTAGCAGAGTAAAGAGGTTTGGTGATCATCGATGAACGTGATCCTCCCAGCCGAAAAATGATGATTCGATAGTGATATTGGATGCGAGTGACTTTGTTTTAGATCGGTGATGCTTGCAAGCAAAAATCACTGCCTTTCAAACCAATAAATCTTCACACTATTTCATACAAAAATATAATAGGTATCGCTCGCACTGGTTTGAATGGGTTATTGTGATTTGGCTGGGGATTTCAGGTCACTGCTTTAAATCCATTTTCATTGTTGTGGTTCTTGTCGTTGTAAGTGACAACGCTCCCCTGATCACTGACCCGAGRCTTTAACCCAAACACTCTCAATTTATCATTGAAGAATTCGGTGTGCATTCTTTCAAATTCTTAAGAATCTAGCAGATTTTTTTAATGTTTAATAAGATTTTGTTTAGGCTCAGTGAATTATAAGCTTTAAATTTTGGGAAGTTTGACTTGAAATTTATTGGCGCGAAATATGTGTGTCATCAAGCACAGAAGGCCTTTATTGATTTGATTTGCTGCTCAACATAATTTCTTCCAGGAGGGTAATTGATTTGTTTGTATTTAGCAATCTTAATTTCTGAAAATTTAATCATTTTGACAGTTCTTAACTATAGAACGGCCGTCGTATCGATATCGATATTTTCATGTTTTGTCAATTATCGTTTGAAGACAATTACCAATGTTATAATGAAAGGGGAAAAACGATTTTAGCCGTAAAAAATCCAAGCCTTTTGGTTGTGTAAAAACACTTAGTTGTTACAATATTTTGAGGTCTTCCATGTGCTTCTACCCAGTGTTCCGGATGAAGCATTTTTGCACTTATTAATTAGTTGAAGAGGTTGTCATTAGAGCAAACTTTTCGGTGTTTGTATAGAACACACTATTTAGCCATGTGAATAAACCATCAGACCATTTTAAAGTCTTATTGATTGATTTGCATATGCTCTTCATATTCCGGTATCTTATCTTACTGACTAACAATATCGAATTGGAACATCTTGTCACTTGTAAGTGAGCGTCAGATATTTCTCTGATAAAGAGTTGATTAGGGTGTTGTAGAGGGTGCTGTAGCTGTAGTGCATTGAGTATTGGCAATGGCCAAAAAGTTTCAATTTATTAGCATGTAAGAGGAGAAATTTCAAATCTCTGTAGACATAGGGTATAGCTGCAACCCACCCCTTGATCCCCAAAAATTTCAAAACAGCCAAGTTAGCTCAACCATGATACAGCTATCACACCTTCTGAATTCTAGCATGTGTTTTGATCTTACCCTGTAAAAAAATCTAGATTCAACATATGGGTGAGTGACTTAGTGCAAATCTTGTATCAAACTCTTTTTACCACCTCTTTACAAATGTAAAATTCCTTTGCAGTGTTCCTTTGTAAATGTACTTGCTGATTATACATTCGCTGATCATATGATAATTATTGAGCAATGTGTCTCAGATAACAATTGTGCAAATCAATTGTAATTTAGTATGCTTGCGCAATAATGATCTTGATATTTAATGATGATGAACATTATTATTTCTAAATTTACCAGTAAATCAATGAAAATGGTTTATAAACTGTCACTAACACTACCAATAGTGTTCTGTATAGTCTATAAAGCTGGCCTCATTTTGTAGGTGTGGCCTTCTATATGCATGAAGTACTACTAAGTATTACCAGTACATGGATGCACCTTGCTTACTTGCATTCAACTCAGGAGATTTTTCTTCTTTTCCTTTTTGTTGTAAACATAATAGCAGGATTTAGCCCAACATCTTTCAGGACCTTAGGTGTCATCACGCCTATAAAAAAGATAAAGAAAAGTCTTTAAGAATTGCAAAGACTATCAGTTTGAAGTCTAGAGAAAAATCACTCTGCAACAACCAGTAGTATTTTAGCAATGATATATTACAAGATTACTTGTAATTACGTTTATGATGTAGTTCATATAGTAAATTGTTTTACAGAGATTATTTATTATGCATGAGGAGACYTATTTGATAAGCATAGTCTTTTGCAATAATTAATGTTTTGTCTAGTATCACTTAGCCCGACAGAAGGTTTTTTGGGTCCTTGGTTATGCAATATAAATTGGATTCCTGAAATGATCCTTGTCAATGTCGCTGTAGACTTTTATTGTGTGATTCTTGATTATGATGATGATAGCGATCAAAGCCCAGTCACTATCACACAGAAGACCAAATGGATTGGATTGCATATGAAATCATTTATGATAATATATTTTGTTTCTAGTGGAGCAATGACTTGGAATGTTTGAGGAATAATATCTTATTGTTTTTTGAATTCAATCAAGTCTCCCCTCTACTATAATATAACTACACTTATGGTAAATAAATTGTTAAGTCATGGCTCTTAAGTCATGATATTTTCAAAGAAGACTTAGAGTTACACTTGATTGAAATGGCATGATAAAATCCTATAAATAACTGTTTGAGGGAGTTGGTTTGAAGTCATCCATGCAAGTATTATTATGAAGGGAACTCACATGTTGTGGTCATTGAACTATTCAGCTGGAACTTAAAATCTGAAACATGCTTTGTGAAGTAGACGTGAAAGGAGATAGAGATCACACAAATATTCAATGTGATATAGAAGACTTACTCCAATGAAGTTAGCAGGGTCAAGGGTGTCTAATAYGACTGGATGAGTCTTTTAGTTTTGAACTTTCTATTTCAATACTTCAACTTACCCTATGAAATAAATTGCTCCATAATCAAATGTGTGTAATATAGAAGATTTTACATTATTATCATCATACAATTACATATGAACTTCAAAGCAAATTATATAATGAAATACCTTTTTTATTACTTCTATATACTAGAGAAACCTTGAATGTGTAATTTCACTAGTGAAAACAACATTCTATCGTAGATTTAAAAGATTATTCTTTGAAACATTCAGTATTCATTGGTCAAAGATTCATTGCCTTATATGAGTAAGAAATATTAATCTTTGCCACTGTGATTATAATCATGATGTCATTGGATTTTATCCTTTCTAGTCTGGTGGCACTGCTGTACCATTGGAGAGTAATACTGTAAGGTTTATTGACAATTTCAGCAGTGGAACAAGAGGAGCAGCATCRGCTGAGTATCCTTAACATATTTTCTGAATATTAATTAGGCCATTTGCATCAGTAAGTCATGGAATCATGACTGCCACACCCCAACCCCTATAGATTTAGAATGCTTGTAGTAACTTTGTAGTTCAAATGAATTAATGCATTCCCAATTTAAGCTGGAATGAGTAAGTTGATWACTTTGACTAAATAAGTTTTAATATGATTAGTGTTACACATATTTTTTTACAAAGTGTATGTCAAAAATGGCAAAATAAGGTGTGGATGGCAACATTATTATTTCTGCATGCATGTAAATCTCTTTACATTGAGGGTTGTAACTATGACTCTCAAATCATACGCCTGTATTTGATTTAGTTGTGTAGCTGATTTATTAAGGAAGGTGTGGCCATATTAACGTAATATTGAATAATGCATTTGTAGTGCTATTTTATCTACTTGATAGTCTTAAGATTTCTTTGTACTTAATCCTTGTAAGAATACCATAATCATTATATTTCAGTGGATATCCAAGGGTTCGCATTATGATTTGTTACTCTTAAGTAACAGCTAAATTAATGGGGCTTAATCTTGCTCTTAACAGAGCCTAATTCAATAAAACAATTAGCAGCAGGGGGTATGATCAAGTGGGGTTCTGGTTTTCTAACAAATTATGCAATAGTCTAGTTAAGTCCAAATTCCAATCTCAATTTGCTCTAATAAAAGTTAAGCTCATAAACTGGAAACTTGTAAAATTCTTATAAGTTTTGGATATATAACAGAAAGTAATAATGAATTTACTTGGGGGCCAATTCTTAAAAAAGCTCCCATGTGGATTAATTGTTGAGCAACATTATTTTTTAAGTAGTCAGTCAAGATGYTTATCAAACATTTTTGAACCTTAATAACTTTAATCAGACAGTTTCTCCAGCAAGGATATGCAGTTATATTTCTATTCAGACAGCATTCTTTGCAGCCATTCTCTCGTCACATTTCTCCTGATAGCTTTTTGGATATACTGGAGTTTAAAGGAGATAGTGAAGGATCTCTTCATATTGAAGGTATATTTAATAGAACTAAATGAAAAAATGTTTTGCATTCAGAAAGGTTATATCATATTGAAGCTAAGACCCAAAGGGAGCCTGGAAATATAATGATATATGTGTAACACAGACTGTTTCCATTGGCAAACACTATCTGGATGTAATGAATAATCATGGGCCCACCTCTACAAGAAATGTTAATAACGCATACAATTAAACATTATTTGATTAGAATTTTTGAGTACCCAAAATCCCCTGTGGTCTTAGCTTCAATGATGTCATCATTTGAACCTGGCAGTAGTTTATAAATAAGGTGTATACAGGACCCATCAGGCTTGCAAAGTACATTTCATTAAAAGAAGGTTTCAGAATTTACTAGCCGCCTAGCAGCTCTGGGGAATGAGGAGGGACAAACAGAGAATGGKGAGGCTATAAATTAAGGCTAATAATGCCTATTTGATTGTTCCTTAAAACTCACAAATCAGTAATTATTTTGATCTGAACTACATATGTGCCCCAAGTTAATCCTTAGTCACTTTATTTTTAATTGCACTTTGTCCCTGGAGGGGGGGGGGGGGGGGCTTCCTAATATCAAAGGGCGGGGGTCCTCGACGTCCCTTTTAGGGTTTGAAATCAGTATTTTGGTCCCGCTTAGGGTGATAATGATGAGAAATCCCACCAACTGAGTTTTGCGGTCCCTTTTAGGGTATACGACGACCCTAAGCTGTCATAAAATGTCAAGAACATCATAATAAACTCAATACGAGCCAACGGTGTTCGATGATTGTGCAAAAATGCAAAATTGATTGGTCCCTCTTAGGGGTGAAATTTCAGCACTGCCACGCCCAGCATCTCATAATAGAGGTCCCTTTTAGGGCTCATTTTCAGAATTTCCGATGAGGACCCCCTCCCTTTGATATTAGGAAGTCCCCCCCCTCCCCCCTGGGCAATTTGTACTAACTATAATGTCACTTTTTCTGTGCTGATATTGAATTGTAGATTATATTTTGATGTGTATACTTATGTTTCTATAATTTCCAAGACATCCAMTAACATTTACTGTTGATTACAGTTGATGAGTCAAGAGCACCCAATTTGCGAGAGGTATTGAAAAAGTATCACGAGGTAAAGTGCAAGATATTTTATAATTATTAAAACCGTTATTTCTAAAACATTAAATGTTGAGGTGGCCTGCGTCCATCCAGTTTAGTTTCAAAATTGACTGTCTGCGCAACACTGCACGATGTCGTGTTCTGGGACCCCCCCGCAAACGATTTGCTACCTGATTATGATTGGTTGTTTTAAGGGTGTTCCGGATTGGCCAAAAGTCGTTTGTTCGTTGTTTTTAAAATCGCGTGGGAGAAATAAACAGTTTACAAGCTGAAAGCTGATCTCTTATTCTTATATTCTTTGAAAAATTAACACGAGTTTGACTTTGAATTGGAATACAGGTTAAAATAGACAGAACCACAACAGAGAAAATGAAGAATTGCTGTTGAACTTGAGAATGCGTATATACTGTATCTTCATCCTAAAAGCTTTCACTGATGAACTTTGCCGTTTCGACATTATATTTCTGGTTTCGACATTATATTTCTGATTCTAGTTTGGCCTATAACGTATTTCTTTTATCCTATATAAACATCAACTGTAATCGGCAAGACTTGCAAATATAAAATTTCCTCAAGTCATGAACAATAGATAGGCTTTTCAACTCAAATTTTACATTGAATTGTTGTGACTTAATTTCCTTCGATAGATATCGGTCATTTTACTTGTAAATAATGATATGTTTAGAGCATAAACCAAATTATTTCAATGGCAAGAAGACAAAATCGTGGAACGAAGAGGTCAAGTGAGGTGAGAAACGCGTCAAACCAATCAYATTGTTTTGACAGCTGAGAAGGCCCTGGGACGATGTGTAAAGCCAATCAAAATACATGTAAGAATGAACCAATCAGAGTGTGTACTCAAATCCAGTTACATAGAGAACACGATATCGTGCACTGTTTCTCAGACCGTGTTTACGGGTAAGCGCTGGATGAACTCGGGCTAATGTTGAGGTTAATATAGTCAGTGGATTAATTGATAGAAGTTAATGAAAACCTCAGCCAWTAATAACAATTATATTAATTATTGAATGATGATTATTAATACTAATTAATTAAATGTATTGTTGGCTATAAGGCTTTGTATAATGTTAAAATTTGAAGCCAGGCCTGACTGGTGGCTGTTATCAGACATTAAGAGGCATAAACATGTACTGCAAGGGTGTGACCAGGTGTTTTGGATTTGCAACAAGCAAACTGTTGGACTATCCAAAAATGTGTTACCCTATTGATTTGGCAAATTGATTCTCATAGTTTCAAGGACTTCATTTGTAGAGGAAGGGGGATTCCAGAATCCCTGGAACCACCAACTGCACATGCCCTCGATAGGCCTCCAAAGTTTGCAGAATTCTCCATCTCATACAAAATGTTTTTCATTTATGAACTGAATTGTTCATGGATTTTTAATTTCTGTGCAGAGTTTCCAGAGTCAAAATTTTTGCATACTGATACATCATTAATGAGGAGTTAATAATCAACAGCCATGGACAAACAAAATGGCATACCATTAAATAAATAATTGAAAATAGCTTCATAACATAACATAACTTGGTGTTTAATAAGATAAAACCGAGCTTTGGACCTAGGCAGTCATTTTCAGGGTTACAATGAACAGTAAATCAATTGACTGGCAATTTTAGATAACTAAAAGATAGAGTTCTACTACTGTATACTACTGTCTACTACTGTAAAGAGGCTAGATGGCATCAGAGAAAGTGGGAAGAGACATRCCACATTGCCAGAAGAACGAACGTTTTATTTCATACAGACCGTGGTAGAACTCTTCCTTTACCTAAAATTGATTTACTGYGCACACTTTTATAATAGCTACGCACATGCTCTTTGTTTTGATGTTGAAGATTTTCTGTTGGYTATRCAACAAGATTMATTCTAACCTTGAAGATGACCGTGTAGGTTGAAAACTCAGTTTTATTTTATTAAGCACAAAGATTGATACAGTGAAGTTGCATGAAGTTAAATCCAACCAACAAACGTCTTTTTAAATTGATAACATAACATGTTTGCTGTATATGTTGATATAGTTTGAAAGACATTATTAACTTGTTTTTGTTGAGTCAGAGTTAAGTTAGCCTATCACACTATATCAGTAGAGGAACCAATTATTTCTAATACATTACCTTGTATTCACCTATCTTGTTTTCAGGTGCAAGTCCTAGGAACACTTCTTCTAGTGGAGTTCAACACCTTGTCAGACTATCTTTTTCTTCTTCGTACCATGGCAGAAGCGTTAGGCAACTTGGGCCCACAAGTCATGTTTTATCTTGCTGCTGCTGTTGCTGATTTTTATATTCCTGAAGAAAGCATGGTGAGAAGTATTTTCAATTAAGAATTATTAAAAAGTGTAAATGRCAATTCTGTATAAAAGGATTTGAAATTGAAAATGCAAGTAAGTGACATCATCTTTAGGGAGTGATGTCAGATGGAAAAGGGGTTGTTTAATCATTTTGTTACATTAGAAATAACATTTCCAGTTCTCAAATAGTTACTATGCTTGATGACTGACTTCAGCCAAAAGTAAGTTATGGCAAACAATGATAAAAAGTCGATGTCCTTCTATTTGCATTTTCTAAGATTACAATATCAATGTTTTTGCTTCACAGAAATGCTTAGCAGCATGTTCCCTTTTTGCTAAAAAAAGTGATTTTCTAAAAGACTCCATGTTTGAGTTCAGTGCACTTTCAGCAGTCTATTGCAGCTTCAGTTGTCATTTTGGCATGTCTTTTCTGGGACATTTGTTTGAATGGAAGTAACAAAATAACTTCTTAACTTCTTGTAATTGAAAAATGTTAACATTCTGTAGTTATAATTTTGGTTTTATCTCCTGCATTTACCGGCACTTTTTGTTTTTGTTTTTTCCTTTATTAAGAAATGTGTAGATCAAATAAATGGTTGTAGGTTGGTCTRTTCATTACGATGTAAGCGCTACTTCAACCTAAAAGATATTTATTTTCGTCAAGCTAAGAAATGTGTAATTTGATTTTGTAATTTGATTTTTTTTTATTTTTTTTCGTCGAGTTAAGAAATGTGTAATTTGATTTGATTTGCAGGCTGAGCACAAGATCCACTCAGAAAGTGGTCCTCTYAAACTTGTCATGCAGCAAGTACCGAAAATGCTGTCTCCTTTAGTCAAGGAATGGGCTGAAAATGCTTTTGTTGTGTCATTCAAGGTAAAGGATTTTCCATGATGATATCAATTGGAAAGGTGTGGGGGAGTATTCCTTAAAGTCGGCTTTTTTTAATTGTATTTTTGCTTCATTGGATGCGACCATGGTATATCATAAATATACCATAGTTCAGTAGCCAATCAGAATGTTGCATTTGTAATAGCCCATAGTTTGGGTGATACTAATTTTCATTATACCTCAGATTAATGTATTATATAATGTATTATATAATTATTCAATTGTAGCGGGTTTTTTATATTTTCAGCTTGAAACTGATGTCAACATTATATCAAAAAAGGCACGCGAGGCACTTAATAAATACAATCAYCAAGTAAGTATTGTCATGACTAATAAAAGTATTTCTACTTCTGAGCGTTTACTGTTTACTATAACGTTTAAAAATTAGAGCTTGATATGTCTTGATATCTAGTCTCCCTCGCAGGCTGCCTTTTTGGGAGGGACAGGGAGCCCGAAAAAAGCGGAGCCTGCGAAGGACGGGTGTATCGAGGCTGTCTTATCACAGAGATCACGTWAAAGGTTTTTGTTTAAAAGAGTGGAAGGGAAAGATGGGAATTGAGGTGCGCCCTATGAACTGTCATGAAAATCTGTTGAGTAGGATTGCCCGATTTCACACGCCACGGTTGAATTTAACTGCAAACTGCGTGAGTTTTTTTAATATCATTTTTTGGCATAACATAGCCCTACTCAAAGTTTTCTCGTAAATAGATGGGCGTACGATGACGTAGTTTGTTTACATCCAAAGTATAAAATTCAAAAAACAAGCAATCTGTACTTATATAATTGAAGATTATATTAATGTCAACAAAGCCTGAAAATTTTAGGGCAAACGCCTTTTTAAATTTCGAGATATCGGCATTTCAGAACTACAAAATCTATAGAAAACATTCAGTGGTTGTCAAAATAATGCCATTTCTTTAAGGAAAATCTTGAAAATTTGGCGCTTGATATCTCTTGAAATATTTAACCAATTGCCKTCAAATTTGCAGGAATTGTTAACAGGTATGAGTTCTTTTCATTTATGGGCTTGATTTCCTTGTGTCTTGAAATTCGACTTCTGACTTTTATGCAAATTAGCTAACTTTTATGCAAATTAGCTAAAACATAAACATCCATTGTGTTGGTTACCGACACCTAGAAAGTTAGGTCATACAGATTTTATTCAATTTCCAGAGGTAGTAATAACTTGCTTGCAAAAAAATAAAAATAAACCAAAACTAAGAAAAAAACACCAGGAAGTGTAATTTATAGCTATTATCGCACTGCATGGCGGTACAAGTAGCTCCGTTACGTCTGGGAAAGCGACAATAAATAAATTTATAAACATTTTCCGCGAAAGGTGGTCAAAAGAGTTTATATGTTTGGAATACTTTTAAAAWACGAATGCTTGTTGTCAAGAAAAACTTTGTAATCTGCGCAAAGTAACACAAAAATAAAAAATCTATTCTCACACTTTTTCATATGTGCTAAATTAATTCTTCCAAATCCGTTTTTATGTTTTCCACTGGAAAAAATCGCGCGCTTTAAAGGTTGTAAATTTGATGTAAATATGATGTAAGTGTCCAAAATTCTGTAAATTTGATGTAAAATGATTTCCATTAAATTTACAGAATTTTGGACACTTGCATCATATTTACAYCAAATTTACAACCTTCAAAGCGCGCGATTTTTTCCAGTGTTCATTGCAATAATCCAAGTAATTATGTGAGATATTTTTTGAATCCTTCGYAAGACYTCRCAAGCTTCTCCAACGARAACGTACATTATCTTGGTCTCCCTGTGTTGATAATCTTRACCGAGAAGAATTGGTGTCGAGAGATTAGAACGYCAGGAACGCCTGGTTTTCCTTCATTTTGCTTCGGCAGCTTTTGCTTACACAGGAGTCCCGTGTAGCAGAGTTGGCATCGAAGGAGGTTCAAATGTTTGTTTTGTTAGGCGCAAAAGTCCTGCGATTGTTCTTATTATGTCTCTCAAGGCCCAATCAGTACGTGGTAAACGGTCCTAAAACCTTTTCTCTATTCTTTGAAATATTGAGCCTTTCAGTGATTCCAATTCCATATTTTTTTCCAAGACTACAAGCACCAGGCCTGCAGGCATTCAAAAATTGAAAATTCAAAAAAATTTGATGTCAGCTCAGAAATAAACCTGAATTTTTCATGTTTGCATGATGATTATCGCAAGTACAGAGAACAAAAAACCTTTAAAAACATGTTTACCTTTAATTAAGTGACACTGTAGAAGCTTGTATGTAAAGTAATTTGCAAAAATTCTAACAGCAACATCTCTAGAACTCATTAATAATTCATGAGCTATTAGTCCAATGAGCATCGAACTATTGAGTCACATGATGGGCCTTTATATCCCGGTAAAGCACTGATGTTTTATTAATCAGTTCTATATCAGATATATAGAACTGATGTTCAAAGTCATCAGCGCTTTATCGCAACCCAACACTAGCAAAGATCTCAGTTTTAATGTCGCATCATAGACCTTTGCTAGGTTTTAAATCAGTCTAATTTTTAAATCAGTTCGAGTGCGTGTTTTATYGGGTCGAATCTATATATCCCGAATCTATATGTATAGTTTAAAACACGCACTCTCGTTCAATAAACAACACATATCATTATATCGGTCCATTGTGGGTAATCGAACGTGTCTTTTTTTCTCGCCAAAATCGCCAAATTTTTTTCTCGTTGAAAATCAGTCAGACTTTTTGATGTTATGTCTATGTAGCTAGGTTTTAGACACACCCTGCTGTTTGATGMCAATTCCAAGTCTCAAGTTTGTAATCAGTTACCTTAAATAAAGTAAGATGACGTTTGTGGTTTGGCATTTCCTTGTTAGTCTTCTTTTAGTTTTTTTCCATCTTAGTGATTAAGACTATAGAACTACAAGACTTTCATCTGCGACCAGAAATCTCTATTTTTTTGAAGGTTTTTCATTACGTATCAAAGGCATTCAATCTTGGCGAAGWTATGTGAGTTTATGATAATTTATGCCCGGCTGAAATGTCGTGCTCGTCGCGCCTAACCCGGAAAAAAATAGTTTGAACTTCGCTTGGAATCAGCTCAAAATAGGAATCCCTTAACCTGGGCGCAACAGCAGTCGTGCTATGCGATAAAAGCTCGAGAAGTTGATTCAACGTATGAACGACGTATGAGCCAGACTTAAGGTATCACTTACATTACGCTTACGGCAYCAACACTTATTACACATTGAACACCATTTCTCGTAATGACTTTGTAGCTTAACTGAACTTTTTCTATACGCTCTGTTTGACGTCTAAAACCCTCAAATACGACTTGCAAGATAGTTTACCTTTCAAACATTTATCAGAATATGAAACTTGTCCTGTGGCTTTCCACCATGATCCACTATTAAATACTGTCAACAAATTGTGATCAAATYATGTTTTATTCTGTTTGTTATAGATAGAATAGTTGGCTGTAACGACTAGTTTACACAAGCAATTTTGTTGCGCAACTTCTGCTGCAAATTAAGTGARAATYGCCTCGGTTTTYACCAAAGTTTCGGGCATGTTTGGATTGGCTGCGATGACTGTCGCTGCGACCTGTCGGAGTTTTAAGTCGCCGTGAATTTGCAGGCTGTTTGCAGACACGATTTGGGTTTACAAGAAAATCGACGCAAAAATCGTTTCTCATTTAGTAGTGAAAACTATAGTAAATGAGTGGCTAGTTGCCAAAAGACGTAGAATCAGGTTCGAGTTAAACAATGAAAGAAATGATTAGTTCACAAAGTTTGTATTTTGTAAAATCAGTTGATTTACAGATTCTGTAAATTGATCAACCTTTTTCAGTGTAGCTCTGGGACTTAGATGCATCTAGCGCCCTAAACTGTCCCTGATACATCGAAAATATTTGTCGCCCGCTGTAATCTTGCTTCCGGGGTATCTTCACTAAGAAACATCGAAGCTGCAGTATGTAGTTGCTGTAAATATATCTTAGTATACTAAAGCCTTAAAAAACAAATGAACATCTAAAACGAAGCGCTAGTGATGTATAGAGGGTATTACATGGGCGCGCGCCCATACGGATTTTATCTTCGAGTGTTGAAAAGATTTCTGAGYCATACCTCCAACCACACATTTTTCTGTGTAGGGCGTTTGATTGAACTGACTAAATTTTTACTGAGTTTCTAAGTGAAGCATTTTCAGGGTTCGCTACGCTCAATCGTGAGAGAACTTTTCACTGACGCTCAAAGATCTCCGTATCTACGCGCGGCCATGTAATATCCTCTATATAAGGAGAATGGTTTTTGAGTGATCGTATCGAACACAGTACAAGCAAAGGCGAAAATAAGAAAAATACGAAGAAAAGTATGTAGAAAAGGAGGAAAGTCCTCTTGAACAAGGTTATCTATCCTTGGAATTAAAGTCAAAAGAAATGGCAAAATGCAGAAACATCCGTCGACTAAGAGCGCCGTACAGTTCCCTGTCTACGGATTTGGTTTGATTATTCGAAATTAAAAAATAAATCGGCATGTTTTTTTCGCGCGCAGGCTGACAAAACAATTTGAGTATTTGAAGCGATTCAAAGGATACTTACAGTGAGTGAAAACCGGAATTTTGATGTRAGTGTATGAGTTGCAATTTGTAAGTAATGGTAAATGGCGCTTGTATTCTTAAAGGCAAATCTTTGTTAATAACTAGTTCTATACTAGTATGGGCTGCATTGATCTTTCTAATAAGAGAGGAGTACAGAATAATTTATTATAGTCCGTAAAAAGAAGAGAAAAACTTACCGAAGCTTTGGCCAAGTTTGACGACAATTGGTGAATCGGTTTGTTGTTTTTTTTTCGCCCCAAAATTCGATGAATTTACCGTAATTTAAAGGCCCAGATGCTGTCTAAATGTACGAGTCTTCTAATCCTTTAAAATGGATGTTTTTTTTTTTCAACCATGGTAACGAGCCCGGTGCAATTAATCATGTGGCCGGCCAGGAATTAACCCTTCAACTTAGCAGTTTTCTCGCACACTCTGACCTAATATTTTGAAAACAATTTGTATTGCACTTTGGACTAAGAACTGTTTTGTTCGGCACAAGTTGCTGCCTGTCGATTAAGAAAAAAAGACGTATGATTATTTTGGAATTTCGGGGCCCGGTAAATTAAATCACAATTCATTATTAACGTCGTTCGCGGGCATTTGAATATGTTATGTCTTTTTTAACTATTAGAAAAGAGAAGGTGCTTTACTTACTGTGGACTATAATTTCTGCAGAAATGCGCATAGAAACCCTTTTTATTTTTGCAACGATCAAATAGAAAACAAAAAGGCAAAAARGTACCTGTGCTTCAATGTTTTCTCTATACTGTGTTTTTTCAAATCGGCAGCTTTCTTCCACCCAACTTTGCTTTAAAAGAAACAACAAGCGTACAACTTTAAACAACGCTAAACATGTAAGGGAAACAACTTACTATATAGCTAGCAAAAGCACATTTTTCTGTAATTTTCTCGCTGTCGCATATACAAATTTAAAATAGTTCGCGCAAAATCTTCCAAACATAAACCACGCAGTGGAAAATTGTCCTTTAAAAGGTAGCTAATTAATTTGCATAAATTAAGCTCTTCAATTTGAAATGCAAGCTTACGGGRTTTTTTTGAATCCTGCTTTCAGATTTTTCTAAAAAATTTAGTCTATTTAATCACACAGACACATGAGCTCCTTAAACTTTGCTTAAAACTATTTTCCCGAATACACTTTTGTTGTCTCTGTACTTCGACGGACAGCTAAAACATAACTGTACGGGGCGAAGGGCGATGTATACTTCGTTCGCTGAATACGTCTTATCATTATTCAATTTAGAGTTAATTTTAAACATATGCTATAGACAAGTATGWTAAATTTAACTCTTCATGAACTAGAGCCCTCATGTTTAGACCCCRTGGACCCCATGTGGTAATTTGCATTGAATTCTCCAATTGTTCCAACAYGAACTAGAAGGCCTATGTYATTRCRGGGTATTTTTCTTTTRGGAATACAGTTTCATATTGATTCAATGGCCGTCRGCAGATCGACCGCAATTAACAATGTTGATAGCTCAGTTATTGTGMTGGGTACTTGGCCTAAGGGATGAAAAACCTCARCAAATKAAAGTGGAGTTTATAAAACTTAAGAATGATCTTYAGAGAAATCAGAAAAACTTTTAGTTTTGCATTAGCTAGTATGATTGGTTACGGGACTTTTTCCAACCACTTATCTCCGACTCCTTATCTCTCCACCTCCGTCTGTGTTCAACAGTTGCACAGCTAGATATAGGAGAGCGTCGACTGCAAACGCATCAATTGGAACATTACGCTCACTTTTCCTGGCGTTGCACWGAATGAAGGTCGTACACTAGTACTGAAAAATTCCCATCCTTTTAACCGTCCACTCTCTAATGACTCTTAACATTCGCGATTCGGATATCGTTAGCATCGTTATGCAAATGTTGGACTTGGATATGACATAATACTTCTTAATCTTGTTTGGCGGGAAAATTTACTGGAGGGTCGTGTTGTAACTTGTTGTTAAKTGATATTTGTTCGTCAGGTTGTTGTGTCCAATATACTCCAAACAAGAAAGAAGACGGTGGTCATTGTAACACCAGCCCATGAAATGGCAGTTTGGATGTCGGACGAGGAACTTGAACAAGGAAAAGAAATCGAAGCTAAAATTGTCACAGAACTAATTAAGATGCACCAGAGATTCATAAGCGGGTCGGCGTTGCAAGGTACTGACAAGTAACATCCATTCGCAATTATTTTAATTCGTGGGTTATGTGTCTAAGAACTCTTTACGAAATCAAAGAATTTAAAACTGTAATTTTTTTTCTGAAGTCTAGAATCTATTGAACTATAAACAATCTTCAAAGCTCATGGGAAAAATTTATATTGATCATGAAATATCAAAGTTAATACTGAAAACGTTAAATTAAGGGAGAAAAGTATATTTTATTATCAAGAATGAMAATGATAATTTGTTAAGAGATTTGTGAGCAAAATTGAAAGAAACTAAAATAAATTCTACTAAGAGTAAGTCAGTAGTATTGTGTTTTAGGAAGTACAGTATTATCATGGATAATATTGGGGCGAAAACTTAATTTTTTTTCCTCGAACTAAAAATCTCCTTCAGGAATTGTCCGATATTCATATCCGTAGGAGTGAAAGAAGTTTTTTCAACAATTTTCAAGCAATACTCCAGTTTCGAATTCTCCAATGCTCTGTGTTAGCCTCATTTGTGTGCAAAATATTTCTTATTGTGAGCGTAAAAGTGTGAGATTTCAAATCAAATTTATTGTCTTTCTTCACAAATTCCATGCGTTTTTTCAGCTATCAATGAAACAAAAGAATATGTTACTTGGTTTTGAGGCTAACACAGAGCAAACCAGAACTCGAAATTGGAGTATTATGTGATCTTCGGTCTATCAAATCAAGTAGCGAACGTTTAGCACGCGCGTAGGAGGGTATTGCTCCTCACAGAAATGCTTGAACATTTACTTTAGAATTAACATTTRCTTTTGATATGATGAAGCCKGTTTGGAACTTTAGTTCTTCCAAATTTTGAAGTAAAATCAAAACTTATAACTACCGAACTTAACATTTTCTAATGAATTTGCCAGGGCTAGTGAGTTTAAGTAGTTAGACTGACTCAGCGTTCAAAAAAAAAAAATACCCAACCTTTTTAGCGGTCCATCTTGAAAATCGTCATTGTTCTGTTTATACTTTTAGACCCGGTTCATTCGTCTTGCTATTGTCGCGCCGAACCAAATGGTCAATTTGTGTCAACCAAACTGTTTGATGTAAGGGTTGATTCAAACGTAGATCCAAATACCGTCGTAAACATCAGAAAAAAGCCTGATAACACGTAATTGCATCCACTGTTATTGTCGAAAAAAGACTATATTTGACAATAAGTCCGGTAGGACTAAGCGTCAAGCTTTCCGTGCAACGCGACTAAGTTTCCGTGCCAGATTCGCGCCCGTAACTTTACGGATTCATATGTCAAGCTGTTCATTTGTCGTGACGATAGCGGGACGTAAGTATACCGGGACTTGATAATTTTTTACATAAAAAAAAATTAAGAGCGTAATCGACAAATTTAATGGTGTGTTGAGGGGTAATGATTTTCCGTGAAACACAAAATGTACGAATTAAGTTGATTTGTACGATTCTCTTCAATTTCTTTGTTTCTTTGTACCGCAAAACAACTTATACTTTCGTACAAGTTCTGTAAACATTGTGTGTTAGTGTTCATCCAACTTTTAAGGTTCTTTCACACATACATTAAAAGACTAATGAGTCAAAGTGCTTTAGTACTAAATGTGCGATAATGTATTTCACGGGTTTAAGGAGACCTCCTGTCTACTTGACTTCTAGGTACACAGTTTATAACCAGTCAGTTGGCTGAGAACCTTCCTCTACCACAGGTAACTAATGCAATTCTCGTAACTATTATATTAATAACATTTATTTGAGTTGAATACCCTTACCTTATACACAGATTGCTTCATTTCAATACGGAATGCAACCCGCTCAGCCACCATTGACGCCTCAAGATACTTGCTCGCCAAGTTACAGTAACTACGCACCTTCTACGCCTCCTACAAGTGTGAATCACATCAGGTTAAGAAAAAACGACGACACGAACACTTCACCATCGTCGTCCCCGTTGCCTGACGGGGTCATTCCTCSCACTCCGCCAACGCCCAACTCTGGTAAAATTGGAAGGTTTGGTATTCTTTCTGACCTGTCTTTAACGCCAGACATGAAAGAATTTATCGAATCTTTYCGCACCAGGAGAATTGCTCTTGGATATACCCAGGAAGACGTGGGGTTCGAGCTATCACGAACCAATGGTCCTTCGTACAGCCAATCTTTCATTTCAAGATTCGAATCGAAAAATCTGGGTCTGAAAGCGGCCGAGAAAATGAAACCCGTCATGCAAGCATGGCTGGAACAAAAAGAACTKGAAAACTCCAAGGGTTTACGAGTGTGCAAGAAGCGAAAACGTCGAACGTCATTTTCGAACGAAGTTCTACGTGTTCTGATTTCTCACTTCGAACGAAATCCAAAGCCAAGTTCAGCCGATATTGTTGAGATCGCCAAGGAAGTGGATCTTGAGCCAGTTACGATACGAGTTTGGTTTTGCAATCGCAAGCAAATGCTTAAAAGAATGGCGACTGGGAAGATCCGGGTGAACAATTCGTTAAAAGCCGAATTAGAAGCTAAATTGAAGGCGCCAGGGCAAGGCAAAGATGTGAAGTTTGACTTTACTCACATGCCTGTTGGGCAATTCTCTTTTACAGAGGATAGAGTGAAACCACTCGTCTGTGTGGCGTCCGAGGGAAGCCCGGTCAAGAACACGCCGCGCACCGCTTCGGTCACCTATGCCCAGGTTCACGATGATACAATAGTTCATGCCACCACGCTTACAACTGCACCGGTCGGGTTCACCGTAACCGAGCAAAGTCATATCAATCAGCTATCATTTGTTAATAGTGTTAAACCAACCAAAACTTCTGGAGAAAATTCTACTGGAGGTCACGTTACGTTCACCGGGAATTCTCCTGGAACGCACGTTGAACACGCTCCGGTTGCGAGTTTAAACTTTGACTCTCCGGCAGTGCAGAAAGTACAACATTTGCAATATACGCGAGGTGTKAACGATGACGGCACGCTACACGAGTACCAGACTAATGTAGTTATGTCCGAACACTCTTGAGTGTGTATTATACTGTGATATACTAAAGGCTTCAACCKCTACGTAGATATGGAAATTCTGCCCACAGCACCATTCTTTGAAAACTGAGAACTCTTTTAGAAGTGAGAGACATTGTCTGTCAGTGCAGGAAGTGTGCCAACGAYACCATTGAGGAAAATGGTAAATCAATCAACATTTCAAAATCAAACTGCATGGGCATCGCAGTTGCAGCAGTATTTGTTGACACTAAAGGAATGTCTTCGTTGCTCAGTGATATGAAGTTATAGCTGACTATCACAAYATATGGCATTCAATGGTGTACGGTAATTATACTCAGCGATAACTGTCGCTGATGTGTRTATTCATATAAATTAAGGAATTTAGGCTAAAAAGGACTCGCTTCACGTTATTATAGACATGTTGGAGCAATATATGGAGCAATATATATATGAAAAGGAACCAACTTCTGTAGGGGATTYAAACAAAATGTCCAACATGGTTGCCCCAACGTGATGGTGGTACCACCATTAGTGTTGATAAATTACATGTATTTCATCACACACTAAAAAATATTAAATAATATTAAACTAATTAGTACCATGGCATAGAGTGAAGGCACTAAACCAGACAAAAATATAATACAGCGAAGATAGTAAACCCTTGAAACAACGCCTAATAACAGGCAAGATGTAAGTCATATTGACCGTTTTGCATTGACAAGTGGCTGTCATAGCTTAGCCTGCGTTCAGAAAGTACTTTTCCTGCGTTTTTGAGACGTTTTTTTTTTTGAAATATTTCAAGAAAGGACATAAGAAGATCGAAGACGCGTAATATTGTTGTTGAGAGGTGATTGCTTCGATGTATTTATTATCACTTGATCAAATAAAATAGGCACTTATGAAACAAGRTTCCACGAATCGGCCAAAACGTTTCTCACTTTTACTCTGCAYCAGAAACTAGATTAACACTCGGTTKTTCAATTAATACAACTAGAAGGGAAATGCAATAAAGACCAAAATAATACTGTTTCAAACACAAGCACGGCACTTTAAGATTTTTCGACTGCCTGACGTTTAGTTYCAGAACTAAAACTCGGTTAATAACTAAGTTTGTGCACAACTCTTCCTTCTATAGAAAACAAAGAATACTTTCCAACACTGGTTTACTGTCTTCAATCTATCATAATAAACCGAAAGGTTCATGTAATGCAAATTCACAAAGCTATATAGCATTTTATACAAAGTTGTCAGAGCAATAGGACACTAAGGARATGWTAMCCACAATACTGTTCGGTCGTGCGTTCAGGTTTGATTTTGTGGTTGGAATCAAAGGAAATATAGATTTGATCGGAATATCCAGATATTATCGGAATATAGATATCGGAATACAGTTGGACTGTCGAAGCGCTGTAGACATGCCACGTTTGAGAGGTTGCGTGTTCGATTTCGGATAGGCGTGGACATCACGTGTCCTACAGCTCTGCTGAACACATGTAAGATATAAGAATTATAATCAATTTTTAAGTACGCATATTTTAGCCTGTATGGCTGGCTTACGGGAATAATAAATATATTTATCAGTGTGTTAAAATATCGTATATCATTTGACGACGTAGAAAACAAAAGGTGGTGGCGAAGATTGYTGTTTGACCTCGTGTTCTCGTTGATTCAGCCATATGCCGACTCTCTAAGTGCTTGATTAATTTACTTTATGCCACTAATGGAAATCATTTGTCTGAATAAGAATGTAAATTATAGATATTATGGTCTTGGTAGACACGTGATGCGCTCGTGTCTTTTCATGGATCATGGTCAACCGGCATGCCTTTCGGGCTTCTGTAATACATCGTAATATTTTAAGTAAAGAGTTTTTATTGTCCCGTCGATGCTCATAATGAATGGAGATATTGTAAGATTCGATGTTGAAAGCAACGGTTGGAAACGGATTGTTTATKTTACCTCAGCGACCGCGTCGAATGCTTGTTGGCCTTGACTTTTAAATTCGACACATGGGATTCGGCGTATGCGGCGGAAACGGTTTTGATTTATAGTGACACATCAATAACATAGAAATACCACAAGATGTGATCAGCTCTTACATGTACTTACTTACACTGTTTGGGCTTCCTTTTAAACTGTGCTAGTTTTAAGCATTTTCCTAAAGGGGTCCCTAAAAACGTTGAAATCAACTTGGACACCTTTTGCCATAGAGCTAGCACTACAATGAAATTACTGTTAGCAGAAAAGGTACTGTTTCCGCAAGGGTTTACCACCATTCTTTTAGCGGAGAGTTGGTTGAACAATGAATGAATGTTGGTACGAATGAAGGAAGCGTCGCTTGTTTGGTACACTCTCCCGCTTTGATTACCGCATACTATCATAAATTGGGCCACTTGTGTAATGTAATATTGATTTTTAGTAATACGTAGTTGGTAGGTTTATTTTAGTTATTAGTAACTGGGGTGTGTCGCGGGTATTTTTTAATATGAAATAAAATAAATTCAATTTGCCAATCAGATGAAATTGCTTAATGTAACGTTGAATAAAAAGCACTTTCCACTTTGTCATAATTGGCTGGCTATATCGATCCAAGGATTATTAATCATTAGTGTCTAGTGAAAAGATAAACCAATTTCGCTGAATTTCATCAGGTAATATGTAAACCTCCTGATCAGCAATTGAAAGGAGCGGTYTGGCTGGCCAATTTGACTGGAAGTGTGTCAAAAAACCGTCCAATATATATAGTGAGTATAATAGTCTTATGTGAACATCCCCCAAGAGTGAAAATCAGAAAAACCATCGTGGTTTTGTTATAAAAATCGTACATACTCGTGCAATTGGTGTGCGTTGTTTTCAGGGACATTTTCTGAAAAAGCGTCGTCACGACAGCATTCTGGAGTGTTGTCAAAACATTGACTTCAAAAAAAGTACATGAGTCTTGACTGCATCGCTTGATCCTTTAATCTTAATTTGCTATTTAGTAAGAACTATTTAATAATTAGACCGCGAGGTCGAGTASATTACGAGTTGATAGTCCATGAAATCGTACTCGACCGATATTCAAGAGACCAAACTATAGGGMGCAAATTTGAAAAAAGACAAAAACAACAACAATTAGTGTCTSGACATTTTGTCTACATTATTTTGCTTCATTCGACCATTGTTTATCACAAAATAGACTATAAGTTCAGTAACCAATCAGATTTGTGATAGTTTGCCCATAGTTTGGTGGATATTAAGATCAGATATCCTATTGATATAGATCAGCCAATCACAGTGCGAGTTTGCCTAATTGTACAGCATGAATTACTGGCGGCACTCCTACTTTGTGRTCTTGCCTTTCGATTTCCACTTAATTATATTAACTAATAGGAGAGTCTAGTAGCATGCATAATAAAGTTTGGACGGGTTCCAAAATGTAAAAAAAAAAAAAAATGGTGGTTAATATAGAATCCAGTGGTGTGTTTGCACGTAAACACTCGAGAAGCTATTCGGAATGACCTTGACATAGAGCTGTAACTTATGACTGAGCGTTAAGCCTTTTCTTGAAATGTGTTGCACTTTATAATTGAAGCTGGAATTGTAGTAGTAGTAGTAGTATGTTGAAGGCAAGTTTCTGTCCAATGTTGAGGCATAGCTCTCTAACAGTAATTTCTCGGGTCTCTGAGAAAATACTTCGATCATTTTATCCTCCTTGAATCACTATCATTTGCCGCCACTTCATCACTTAGCTTCATGCCAAAATACTTTCCTGCAARTCTTGCAATWATAAGCTTTAACYCAAATGCTTTTTTCTTCAAATTACATACGAATTGGAATTCTGAAGCTTGGTCTTTCATTTTTTGGTGTTTTTGAATCCAGAGAGCCGCGTTGGARCTGATTCCTATACCAAACTGATGCACCATGCTGTACTTGATTACAGTAGAGGCTTGTTAACTAAGGACGCTATTTTAACTTGTTTTGATGTTTTAAGTAAATATGCAGGTATAACTGAAAGCGTTGCTGACGGGAACATTTGTTATTGTGATGTCATGCGTTGACAAATAACAGGAAACCGCATYTCGAAAAAACGAAATGTTCAACGTTTTTGCTGTTGTTTTTGTGTTTCWACATTGGCGTGGCCGCCGCAATTCCCGGAGTCTCCCACATTATCATGTCACTGAAGGAAGGAAATGATAGTCTTTTTTAAATAGTTAATAAATGTGCGCTGTAGTGTACATATGGGTTTATTTAGTACTTGCCGTAGTTGTGTCAGTTCTGCGTTAACGCGCGTCTCATTTAATATTTTCGAAATTCGCGTATATTTTACGAAACCATCGAATCTGGATATATTTTCGTGTAAACGAACACATATTCCTTAGTAAACTACAATCGTAGTGGTTTTCGGTTTTTGGATTATTCATTATATAGGACTAACTTTCCATGATTTTCAGTGCTGAATTAGGCTAATTAGTATGCGTACCACMTACGAGTTAAATACGAGTTGCATACGACAACATACGAGTTACATACGATGACTTACGAGTTGCATACAACAACATACGAGTGACACGACAAYATACTAGTGACACGACAACATACCAGTTGCATACGACAACATACGAGTATAACCATAACATSGGACAACATACGTTTTTCAACTTTTTCTCCGCAATTTAATAATTTGCAGTAGCGTCAATCCATATTCCCCATCGGTCATAATCGTTTTCTTCTAAGAGCCCTACTTATATCAGATCCCTTGCAGCCTTGATTCCATTCCCGTATCTTCACTCGACGTCACGTGAAGGAGTGTTTGGCCATGACTGGCGACACTTGGTTGTCTGTAAGAGGCTGATGACATTCAACTTATCTAACCCCTATAATTTCACTTACGCTGCAACGCAAACGTTTCTGCTCATTTTCGCTCAACGCCCGTGAAACAAAACTCGACTTATAAGTGTGATAGTGAAATAGACAAGAAGTAGAGTGTGTTAGTGTAATATCTATTTCTCTGATTTCACGGTTTTTTTACTTTACTTTGACACTTGAACCAGTGAAGTGCCAAGTACACTAGTCAGCAGCCTGATTTTTTTTTCTGTTTTTTTTTTTTCAACCGTACAATAAAAATTTGTCTTAGACGTATTAATTAAATGTATCGATTCTAAGGAGTCTTGGAACAAGATCTACGACCGCTTAACCGTATCGMAGGCGTCTCTGTACTCTTCTCAATTCATGGGCCTACTGTGTATGCATGAGTCAGTGCCAACAACGATTACTTCTCTAATGCTGAAAGGATAAACTAATCGAATTTTAAATGTACCAGTTTTAGATGCATTTTACTAAATAGCTCGTCCATGCAGAGAACGCCACGAAAGAATGCAGGAATAATCCATTCCGGTGTTACTAATAAATTTGACCAAGAGCAAGCAACACYYATAATCGGTATTACTATCAAAAGAGCTTCCGTAACTTGAAAATTCACATTCGAGAMAGCAGACAGCATTTCTAGYAGGGTATGAAAACTGAGATGACGGACCGCGCGCTAATTCGTCTTGGGACGCGGCGCGCCTYAACTATACTTTATGTAAAATTATTAAAACAGATTTTCCGTGTATTGACGATGATGTATTTTTGAACCAGTAACTTCGTTTGGCGTTTACTTCCAAGCGACTAGTAAGTTCCGTGACCACGTCGGTCGTTCCGCTGCACAGCTATACAAAATCCCCTCTATATCTGATATAGCGAGGAATATTCCTTGAGGTCACGTCCGTTTCCACTGTATTTTTTTCTGTTCTTTTTGCAATTCTTCTTTGCGATATTAGTGTCAATTAAAGTCATTTTCTTCCGTCTGTGAAACAATTACTATCTAGTCAGTGTTTAAAATAGTTGTATTCCAATAAAAGAAAGCAATRKGYGTAGARTCTACTAGCGTCTATTAGCRTAGGAACTATTTCACAGTCCGATGAAMATCACTCTATCAAATTCATTTAATTGATAAGGCACAATTGAAAATCATTGTCGTGACCGCATCTTTATATGAGCAAGAGATTTGCCCTGATTTCCATACGACTGTAACTTCGAATTTCTCTTAAAAATGATATTTTATTTCGAAGGTTTTTGCACAGTATGCTTTAACTTATGTTGGAACTTGATAAGCCATATAAAATTTTCGCGTCCGACCTTTATGGGCTATAAAACTGCTCGCTTGCTTTATATATTACTTAAAAGTCTGAAAACCTAAGCTTGATTCATTTTATTCATACATTATATGCTATTTACAAAATATTTTACACGCATCTACAATGCTTTCTTAGCCCTCCAGTCAAAGAAGTCCTCGAAGTCATCACTGTCGCTACTTGCGCCATTGTCTTCCCTTCGAGCTTCTGTGGCTTTCGCTTCGACTTTTTCCTTGATGACAGTTTGCTTGTCTCGTAAATCATGTGCGCGTAGAAAATATTGACTAAAAGTAGAAATGAAAACAAATTCAAATCTAAATCCAAATCCCCTCATCCCCGGTGAAATGTGGACAAGAGGCTATTGATGGCGTTAATGTTACGCGGGATGTTTTGCATTACAAATTGCGCGTTTTGAATCAACCACAAGCGTCAAGGATATTATTACAAATCTAAATAAAAACAAGACACTTCCGCGTTGGACTGCTTGTCAATAAGCCTTTTAAGGCCTGGTTAAAAGCGGAACTAATTTTTGCCGTACCAAATTCAAATGTCTACTGCTAAACGTGCAAAAGTCATTGTTTTGAGCTCAATAATGACAGTTTTACCATATTACTAAATGACAAATGAATTCTTTCTAACTCACTTAAATTTATAGCTGTTTTTAAAAACATACTGTTTTAACATTAAACTACTATTTGTCACTTCTTAAATTACTACAGAATTAAGTTCGCCGTATAACCTTGGCCATTCCTATTTCTAAGAAACAGATGTGAAAATTGGAGTGACTGTCACACAACTAAAAYAGTATAATAGGTAGAGTACATAAAGGAAATCCCCCCTCCCTATTGGAGAAATGAAATACAATGGAGACAATTCCTCGCTATAACTTTCCAGTTAAGTGATAGTGACTATCATCTAAAAAATAAGGCTGTGCCGTCGCATGCCGTCGTGTACCTAAATTTTTTGATTCATAATAGAGTGAAGTAAAAAAAACCGTGAACTGAATGGATACGCTCTAATTGCCGTGTAAAAAAAAAACCCGTGAAATGGATACGCTCTAATAGACAGTCTGTCTATTTGACTTTCACACTCAAATTGTGTTTCACGGATTTAATGACTTCAGTCTACAATAAAGTATTGTATATTGGTTTGTATGCTTTGACGACATGCGATATTTAAGTACATGTACTGTTAATATACCTTTGTTCATTTAATTCATGCAGTTGTCTATCAATCCGTGCGACTTCATCGTCTTCTTCCACTAAAGCCTCAGATACCTGAAATACATAGTAGCTCTTATTGATCGCTTTCAACCATTCCCATGAGATTCAAAAGATAAAAGACCGGCGGCCATGTTGGAGGAATGAGCAATAGATACTAATGAGAAATCCTTTGTTGAAGTTCCTCCAAGATGGCCGCTGTGACGCATATTCAAAACGAAGAATTGTATGGATGAAGCTTTGGATGAATGAATCATAAATGTGAGGAATGGATGGACAGACGGACTAATGGGTGAAAAAAAAAGAGTCAATGATTGAATGGATAAATGGATAAACGAATGAATGGTTGAATAAACCGCTGTAGGTTGAAATTGAGATTAAACCTTAGCTTCATCGCAAACTAATACCAATATTATTACAAACAATAATGAAAATGGAGTAATTCAAGGCCGAAACGTCGTCTTAGCATGTTTGCACTATTATTTATTATAAAATACGATAATCATTATTCCATACACGCAAGGCATAATTGATGGAATTACCAATCAAAAATACTTACTTGATTTTCCATTTGAATTTCTTTCTGAAATTTTTCCCACTCTAGCTCGACAGGATCTTTATATTCTATATGTCTCGCCTTATAAAGAAAAGATGAAGGGAACTTTATTTCCGTTCCTTTTTTCAAACATTCTTTATCAAAAGGGTCGATAGCTGTGTTGATATGAAGTGATGAAATGCAATTTTCGGATTCTTCCAGGTTTCTAGTGTAATTGGTGAATTACGACATACGAATTACTTGTAAAACTGACTTGGGATAAACTGACTGAGTCAATTTTACAAGATTTGCATACATTCTTCCAACCATAAAGACGACCGTGTCTTGATTATAAATCGAGGTGGTGATCGGGTAGATAGATATCTGTTATGCCCTTTAAGATTTCATAATTTCGAAAAAATATTATTTTTTGGACTTTGCCACTCTATTGACAATAGCATACCCAATGAATAAGAGAGAKTCCAGTAGATGTCTGTTCAAAATTAAGTTTGAAGGGCAAAAGCCAAAAGATGGCTTTGACCAGTCATAAAGCCGCGGCTACACGAGCGATTTTTCGTTTGCGCGGACCATAATTAATAAACTATGYTCAGGCGACGCAATTTTCGGGTACGACGAAAGCTGAACATCGAATTTGAGCTGTTTTTGTACATATGCCTYTTTATGGAAATTCAAATTTAAGTATTTGTGAGGATTTTTTTTATCGATACAGCATTGTCGCTCGTGTAGCCACGAGCCGGATGTACGCAGGCTAAGCCARATCGTGCGCTRWTGATTTTGAGAAAATCGCGTCGCCTGAACACGCAACAAAACGCTCTTGTAGCCGCGGCTTAAGCACTTACAAGACCTTGTTTTGTTCCAATCATTTGCCGCATATTTTGCAAATCAYCAACATGGCTTTRAAGTCTTTTAGTTCTCAAATTCAGCAATAGTATTGCTAGCTCTTACCTTTGCGTCCAATTTAGGATCATCAAAAAAACCCTCTGGCARTTCCTCTGATGGTTTCCTACAACATTTCAATAGCATAAGATAGTCAATAAATAAACCAGTTCTTGGTTTGATACAAGAAAATAACATAAAGAGGAATGSAGAAGATTTTGAAATACATGTAGACCGCCGTGAGCATGCATGCCACAAATTTATTAATAGTATAAAACGTAATTGCGCACAATTTCCACTGTTAACTAGCAGAAAGATTAGTTCTAACTCTCAATATTCTCTAAGATCAGCTGTTACGTACTATGTAAGAAAAGGCAGAACCGATAGATTTATAATTTAGTTACTATGAAGTTCTTGTAAATATGACCTACTCCTGTAATTCAGTTTTAACTGCAAAAGGACGTAATAAGCTTGAATTTACCTTGCTTTATTTGTGGTGTTCTTCTCTTTATTATCAAAGAAATCTGCAGTCAAGTGAAATGAAAAAAAGCAATTGATAACTGGTGAAAGTTATATAAAACAATTCAGGGCTAAAACATTAAATTAAATTAAAATTAATCGGTCAAATCCAATTTAGGGTCAAACTATACCAATACTTAAAAAAAAACCGGAAAAATCACAAAATACCTGTTACAATTGAATCAATTTATTTAGCTCAAAGCGACATCGCGATTTCAGACTGTCGGCCAAATGATTGGAAAAGTCGCCCTGAAATTATGAACATTCGTGTTGCCCGCGCTTTCTAAAAAACTGTGTCTTTGTTTTTGCAAACTTCGGATGTCTTTGAATAACAATCCTATATTTGAMACGATATAGTTTGGTGTTTCTCTCAATAAAAGCTAGAAAATCGCAAAAGTATTCATTTCAAAAGATTTTTTGTTGAATTTTGAAATTTGACCGGTCGGCCAAAATTAGCTACGAAGTTAATTTTGACCGGTCAAATTCCAAATTTATCTATCATCGCATGCTCAATGTTGTCTTGCTTTGCTATACTGCCACAGCTACCAACTTTGTGCAGGGCCAAGACATGAAGACAACTTTTACGGCATCTTTGCATTTGTCTTGCATTTAACGTTGTTCAGTTGCAAAAAGTCATTTCTTGCAAAAAGAAAAAAAGTCATTTGRATATATCATGTTTTAAATTTCTTTGCAAGAATATTCAACATGTTCCAAAACTTCTTTACAAGTTTAGAATTGCAATTTTTCCTTGGAATTTTAAAAACCTTTTTTTYATTCAAATGACTTTGTTGTTGTCTTTGTGTCTTAACAAGTGAACAATGTTACTGCGATTGTTCTGATAGGGTATACACCCTACWCCTCCCTTGCATCATCAAAATACAACACTTACCCGAAGGTAACCCAGAAGTTGACGTTTTATTTTGTATAACAGATGATGCTGTAGATTGTTGTTGATCATCATCATCACTATCATCATCATCATCATCTGATGTTTGATCTACTAATGAGGTAGTACGTTGACTTGAAGGTTTATCAAAGAAATCTGATGGTATGCTAAAGAGTTGATAATGTGAGATCATTAATTTAAATGATGCGAGAATGATACGCATATGAAAGACACAATGTAACACACCTTGAAGACTGCTTGTTTGTAGAAACTGAAACTGAAAATACATACCTAATTTAAAATCAATATGAAATAATCAGTAAATCAAAATACACAATTCTCCATTTTTCAAGTGAAAAACTGCTGCTTCATTTGACAATGGCTTCTCYTGCGCAAAAACCTTACTGAAAACAAAAGAAATCACATGAAGCCATTGTTTTGTGTTCATCCAATTGAATGTGGGATAGGTCTATTGTAGCAGCTATGCATGGATCAGCACAAAGATTGTACTAATCAATTTGCCTCTTATTCTTTAATTTTATTTTTAACATTTCTTGTGGCACCTATTCTTGACAAAAAGCAAAAAAAGTCTAATCTAATTTATGGTGAATAAAAATTTTAAAAATTAAAAAAAAAATTATTTAATACATCATTCTGCAGATCTTTTTATCAGCATTTAAGAAATTGTTTTGCWCGATATACTGAAAGTGACTTTTCTTTGTCTGATTTTTAATAGAAGCACTTTTTCTTGAATACATTTATATTGGGMAGAAATAATTTATTGCAGCAATGTATTCAAAGTTATATTTCCTGTGTTTTTGTCAATCTTGATGTATTTTGTTCAATTTGTTTTGAGAATTAGTTACACTGCCCGAGAGTGTGTTCAAGAAGTCTGGGCCTGACGTTGCTTAAAAAGTCATCAAATTCATGCTATGATTATCAATAACATCATTATGCAAGCATTAAAACTTTAGTCAGATAATAGGCTCCACTACCTTAATTATGTTGGAATTTGATATCAACAAAGTTTTGGAATAATCAGTTGAAGAGTTAAAAAGTCAGTTGAAAAGTCAAGTTAATAAATTTGAARAATTTTCTTTACAGAGGTGGTAATGCTTTTTAACTAACTTTAACTTGTTAACTTTTAAACTAATGTTTAAGTTATCTGTGAAATGGCAAGCATTTAGTTATTGGGGAGCAAGGATGACCGAGCGGTTAAAATGCCGGTCTATCACTGCTGTGGTCCTGGTTCGATTCCCGGTCCGGGACTATACATGTGATTTGAGTTTGTAAGCTGTTTTTTTTCCTTGCTCCGAGGGTTTTTCTCCAGGTCCACTGGTTTTCCTCCCTCAGTCAAAAACTAGCTGTGAGSAGTGTYGYGYRGTAAAATAATGAATGTTGAGGTAGTGAGTGTGAGTGAATATATAGAGGGCCACAAGTTTATTAGTCTAGAGACTATTACGTGCTACCCTCTCAAAAATAAAAGACTTTATATTTTTATATTTTATTAGACTTTATTGGCTCCTATATTTAAAATTCTAAACCTGTTAAAGAGATTATTATCACTCAGTATCCAGAGGAGCTTTTCACCTTTGAGGTGTGAAACAAGTGTGAAGTGACGGACMTWTACTCCCACAAAGACATTAMGCGCCTASCAGGACAAGAGATTATYAGTSTATACTGAGGTAGTTTATTTTTATTAGCATAATTTTTTCCCATCCTAATGCAAAGTGACACCTCAAAAAATGAATAACTTAGAAACTCTTACAGTGCAGCTACTGAAACCATGGCCACAAAGAGAATGTAAAATAATCACAATTTCGATTGAAACAAGGCTTRAAAAGCTAAAAAACGATGATCAGYGATAWTRCAAAGAACTAAAGMTTAATKAKATGAGGTTTCCTTAGTYTGAATYCTTTRTTTTCAATCTAAATTGTGGGTTTTATATTATCTAGGTGGCCCCAGATTCAGTAGACGCACTGTAAAAAATCTAATACATTTAAATTAAAAATCTATTTCTATTAAAATTTTATTAGCTCTGGTTATTTTACAGAGAAATGTGTGTTTGGAGATATGGCTTAGAGATTTTTTCAACACTYAAAGATAAAATCAATATTTCCAAGCGGCCATGTAATATTCTGTTTATAATTTCATTATGTGTGAAAGCAAATTAGGTTTTAAAGTAACATATTTACCTCCAACAAAGAGAGGTACCACAAATGTCTTAATTTAACTAATGAAAATATTGTATCATATGCTATTTTCTCTACTTTAGTGAAATATAGGTATAATATTCATAGATAATTATATGATAAAAAATTATATCTTGATGGGTTGGAACTAACTGGGATTTATCACAGCATCTTAGAGGTCATTTTGCTGTTTAGACGCCCTCTCAGTTGTTTTCYAGCATCGCCTTCTTAATCCTTCCAACGCACGCACAAAAAACATAAGTAGGGGAAGATTAGCAAGGCGGCAACGGAAATGGCTGTGTGAAGTCTATTTTCCATTAGGTTGAACAAAGAAAACAATTTATTGACAGGTAGCCATATTGACAAAGGATTTATTGTTAATGGAATCAATTAATATCATAAAACTGATACTGGATCAGGAGATTTTTAAAAAAACATGACACATACTKAAAAAAATAGCAAAACATCTACCTTTGTGCTTTTTGTGTGGACTTTCACTGATTCTGACATCCTAGTACAATAAATTATTATAATTCATTATGAGTATGGTTGGGACATTAAACACTAATTTATGATAATTGCCCCTCCAGTATCTGTAATAATTAGTGTAGGTTTCAGGTATACATGGAAGAACAAATWGCTATTTTAAGAAAATTAATTTGCTTGAAAGGGACATTTAAATTACAAACAGTAACCTTGAAATCATTTAATAACATGTAATGTTGTAATAAAAGTAGGTAAAAAGTTATACCATGTACAAGCATCCATTCTATACTAAAATCAAATTGGCATTTGCTAATAGAGCACTACTAATAATATAAATTATAAATAATTTTACCTCTTCATTTTTTCGCTTGATGTCCATTTTGACTTCTGCAGGTTTTGCAAAAGTACAACTTTTCTAAAAACGATAAGCACAGGTATCCCAAACTCAGTGGTTGTGTTGATTTACTAATAGAACATATGTGRCAAATTAAAACTCTTTTTCTTACCTCAAATGATAACAAAATCCCTTAAAACTTGCATCTTGTCTTGATAGATTGCATTATGACAGCATGGATGTTTCAAGGGTTTTTATTGTCATTTGAGGTAAGAAACTGAGGCTAAATTAAGTCACACATATATTCCATAGTAACTCAACAATACAGTTGTGCTTGGGCTACCTGTGGAAGAGCAGACTTCACATTATAGAGAATAAGTCTGCTTTGTTACTTTTCATAAAAATGTACCCATCAATTTTGAAGAATTTGAAAAACTGACAAAAATTCAAACAAAAACTCATTTGCTATATATTACCTGTGAATTCTCAGTTTTGGAGTTTGAAGATGGAGTTCCATTCTTTTTGTTCTTTAAGTTTAATAAACTCTATTGTGAAATAAGGAAGACTTTCATTATAATAAATTAAAATTCACGATCAGGTATGTGTTGTGCAAGATGTTTAATAACCTTAATTAAGTTATTGTACCTCTTTGTGTTTCTTTCCTTGGACATGAGCATTCCATAACAATTCATTTTTGACAGTGGCATTGCACAAAACACAAAATAGCTGGCCTAAACTGTTATATGTGATTTAGATTAAAGAAAATCAGTTTTGACATTCCTTAAGCTTTCTAAGCTTACATAATTTTTAAGCTGAAGATTAAAGGTGATATTTATTAGCATGATGTACATTTGCACACACACGATATTTTAAAAGATTCAGGTATGAAGAAGCGTTAAACATGCGTATGATTTGACAATGCATTTTTTTTCAAGCACTAAATACTCATTATATTTAACGGCTGGAGCACAATCAGGGTGTCACATTTGGGTCCAATTATTGATCATAATCAACTTTCATTAATCTTATAATTATTTGTAGTTTTGAAGAGAGTAGTACCTAAGGGTTAATGGCCTGAAATATTTTAGCACAACAAAATTTTGTTTTGGAGTTATGAGGCAATACACTTATTGAATGCTAGGGGGTACGGACACTACAGCCAGCGAATAAGTTTCAAAAGATTTCCAATTATAAGACATTAATATCCATTTACATCATGAAATAGTCATTCATTTTAATGTTTGATATCTACTAAGTAAAAAATAATCATCTTTACTGCAACAAATAGAACAAATGTTCTGAAAAATATCGATTAGACTAGTTTACAACATCTGCCTACACTTAAAAAACATTGTTGTGGTGGGAATATCAGATATTTTTTGTATACAAGCTTATATATACTCTGGGGACTTATCAGGGATATGTTGCAAGTGACCAGGGAAAACTGTGGATTGTTATTTTTGTTTCTTTACATCAGTGTATGTTTTAAAATCATCCTAAAACCAACCATAAGGGCAGGGGGTACGGACACTACAATCATACATTTTTTACATAATTTCAATGAAAAGCTCTTTTTAACATTCCATCTTCAATCTTTCAAAGTGTTTTGACTTATTTCCTTAACAAAAACTTAGTAACAGGCAGTCAAATCTAGTCTGTCATGAAAAGAAAGCCTTGAACTTGGTAACCAGGCAAACAGGTCATTCTGGGTAATAAGTGTTTTTATGCAGAATTCTTGATGAACCTCCTTTTAAAAATATCATTATCAATAAAATACATTATGGATATGATCAATTTTTACAAGTTCAACAACTTTATATTGAAAATGCCAAAGTATTAATTCTCTGAGCTTACAAAAAAACATTCATCAATAAAGCTCATGTAGAGGCAGAACATGTTACTTAACATGATTTTTTTATGTTTTTGATATGTTTTTACCTAATTTATTGACATCTAGAACCCATAAGATTATTTTATTTGATATATTTTATATTGGGGGTACGGACACTACAGGGGGTACGGACACTACAAATTGCTTCTTATTGTCACTTATCTGATAAATCTAAAGATGAATTAAAATTCTATCATTACTAGACAATAGTGCTCAACAAATGCTACATGCATACCAAACTATGCTTGATAGTTACTAGTAGTTCTAGAGATTTGCATGGGGGTACGGACACTACAGAATTTGTGCCACACCCAATATCCCAATTTTTGAATTTTTTTCTTGGAATGTGTTAAAGATTTATTGCAAATGCATTGATTCTTCTTAACATCCTACTCAAATAGTTTGCAGAAATGCAATTGGCAAGTGTATCAGGATTTTCATTGAGGAATATTTTGATATTATTCTGGAATGCTTTATAAAATCTCAATTTTTATAACAACAAAGCCTTTGTATACTTCAGTGTCTCTATTG